AAGAAGCACTTTTCTGTTGTCAGTTCAGGAGGGTTCTTAATCGTAAGCTTGAGAGCTACACACATCTACAAGGTTTGGTAAATAACCAAACCTTGTAATAATTTGGTAAAACTTTATCTAGTGGTCCTTTGTAGATGATTAATAAACTCTTAACAGATTATCAGTAACACATCAACTACATATCAGTGAAGTAGCAGCAGTGAAGCATCTGAATACACTGAAGTAAATATCTTGTAGATGTTCTGTTGATACATTACTTACATTAAGTAGATGTGTTGTTAATATGTCACTTCCATTAAGCAAAGCCTAACCTTTACCCAACCTTACCCAAAACCTAACCCTAACCCTGGCCCTAATCCTAACCCTAATCTTAACCTCAAATTTAAAACCTAATCCTAGCCCTCATGTGTTTTTGACCTGTTACTGAGAGTCTTTTGAGTGTTTGTTTCATCTAAAAAGGACCACTCAAAACTAACATTTAATATGTTATTTGATGCTATATAGTATTTTGTTGCGCAGAATCACGTCCCTCAGCCCCACTGCATTGACAGAATTCACAATTTTGCATCCTTTTTGTGTTTTGCGTCTATCAGTATTATCTCACTACAGTACCCAGCATGCATTATGCGTATACGTCATACAACCTTTGGAAATCCCCTCACGAAAATAAAGAAAACTTGACTATTGGCCACTGACATAAAAAAAAATTATGCAGCCCACTCTCGAGTATCTGGCCCCTTGTATTTATCTCACTCTAGAGTCTACTTTGTCAGCACCATAGAATGTCAGTTGGCATGTTTACAGTAGACGTAGCAATGGTCAACTTTTTTTATTTTGGCTGGAGTTTCCCTTTAAAGAAATACTCTAGTTGTATTCAGCCTAATCTGTCTGCTGCATTTGTATCACATGATCGATTACTGCAGACTCAGACAGGAGTTATTGCGTAATTGCAAAAGCACCTGCCCATTGGCTTCATTTATAAGGTTTTTCTTTTGAGTCAAGGAGTTTCCTTTTCTGTTAGTTAGTAATAAGCATGTGCCCCTGGTAAACAACCACATGATACCCACACAGTTGATAAAGACTAGGTGGAAATGTTGCAGTATGGCTTCATACAATTCAGTAATTGCACTGGCTGTTGTCATAACATTTGACTTAAACTCTCTCAGTGTGTCTGATGATGAACGGAGGGGAAAAGAGTGTACTTGGCGCTCTCTTTATGACAGGTCTCCTGTCTCCCCCCCACCCCCGCTATTTTTGTCCTCCGTCACCCTCTGTCTGTCTTCTTCCTCTTTTAGTCGGGTACAGTCAGTTCTCCTACTGCCCCTTCTCCTCATCTCTCTGCGTATCTCTCTGTTTTTCTCTTTTTCAACTCGAAATCTTTCTTCTGTACGTCTCCTGCTAAAGGAGTGTGCAATGCCTTGAATTTACCCGGTTTAAATGTGTGCCTCATTTCCACATGAATTAAATACGCTAAACACAGCTTCAGCCAAGGGTAAATAATCTGAAGGACAAAACTAATGTAATATACTTTAAATAAATGCTAAATGCTAATAAATGGTGTAATGTACTTTAAATAAATGCTAATGTAATATACTTTATTCATGTGGAAATGATGAAAACATCTGAAACAGATAAATTCAAGGCAGTTTCCAGTGAGGGTTTGCCGAGTACCTGTACAGAAAAGCTTACTCTTCTCAGTAGTCCATCAGTCCATTTCAACCCCCCCCCCACTGTATTGTTGAGAGTGAAGCTTCATTCAGAGCCCTGTGGTCCGAGTAAAAAGGAAAACAGACTGTGTGAGTAGGAGGGGGATGGGGGATCCCTCTGGAATAATGAGCCCAATTGTTTCTTCCGCGACATATTGAAGCTTTGCCCAGCTTCTTATCGAATTGACTACTCTTATTGTGTGAGTGTTTCTGTGTGACCACTCAATGTCCCACTTTGTTTTACAAAATGCAGCGATAGATAAACAAATTCTCATCTTTACAGTAAAAACCTGGTTTTAACTACATGAAACATATTGTTTACTGCATAGCAATCTGAGATAGAATCAGTAGCACACATTATAAATGGCTGTCCTGTTTTTAAAGGCTTAAGTTAATACATCTTCTGGTATGACCACATTGTAAATCTTGTTAGAAGAACTGCGTATTACATCCCAACTCCAGAGTAGAAGCTTCATTCATGAAACGGTTCAGATCGGTTTGTATTGTCTCATCATATCATATTACAACAATGGAAAGTGTTACGAGTGTGGAAACTGATTGCTCTTTTGATACATATATGGATCACTTTACACCTAAAGTGCTGTGTAGAAGTCAGAGACCACCCTTCATTTATTTAATTTCCAAAGAAAACAGCCATGAAGTACATGGTATTCAGCATCAAGAAAGAAGTAGCCTCACCAACTAAATATAACAAAATATAACTTTTTTAGTATTTATTACAGCTTCTGTTCTTTTCAGAAGACTTGCTTTTTCCAAGAAAGAAATGTTTTTTGGTTGCATTTTCTGCTTCTCATGATTCAAGTAATCCCAAACACATTCAGTGATGTTGAGATCTGGACTCTGGACTGTGTTGGTCAGTCCATTGTACTGAGAACACTAGCAGCTTCTTAGGTTGATCTGCAAGTTTTGTCTGTTTCCATTTCAGGAAATAGACAAAAGTAAAGGCTTCTTGACAGCTGCACATCCTTTCAGACTCATAGTGTTGAGTTGTCTTCTCACAGTGGACGGAAGGACAGAAACACCTGTGGATTTTTTCAGATCTGAAGCAAGAGTGAAGCTTGATTTTCTCCTCTCTCTCAAAGATGAAAACTTTAAGTGCTGTTGATCTGATGGGGACAGTTCTAGTGGTCTACCGAGTTCCATTTTCTCTGCATCATTTTTTAACTTCAGTTTTGGAAACTGCTGTTTTGCACTTATTTTTCTTTGATTTTCTCCTTCTTTATGCAAGAGGGTCATCTTACAGCTAATATCCTTAGCAATGTCTCTTGAAAATGAATAACTTGTACTTAATGGCTGTTTTGATTGAATATTAACTAAACAAAAAGCAATCTTTGACTTTTGCACAGTACTGTATAAACCTTTAAAGTATCAGCCTCTATCTGATGTTCTGAATGCATATGGTTATAAGTGCAAAGTGATTGCTTGGCTGTTTGGCAGCCTTGGGCGCATATATAAAATGTGTATGTGGTTTGCAAATAGCTGGACTTGAGAAAGGAAAGGCCACACAATTAGCAAAGTACTGCTCAGTCTCAGCTGTCACAGGCAGCCTATATATCTGGAGAAGGCACTGTTTCCAGTATGTTTAATGTTTACATTGTCAGTGTAAACTTGGCATAATGACAATAATATGATTATGACTGAACTAAAATTTGGATTTTGTTATGACTGTGTTATCTTACTTGTTCATCAAAAAAAACTTTAAATGGGTATGTGAGTTTGTGAGGGAAAAAGTGCGAGGACCCCTGGTAAAAGAACTGCTGACTGACCTCACTGCTTCCTGTCTTCTCTGGCATCCCCTCCTCACACACAATGGCGGTCTTTATTAATGTTTTCCATTCTATCCAGAATAGCCAAGTGAAAATAAGTCCACATCCCCTACAGGGAACCAACTTAAATGTGGCATTTTTTGGCAAATTTTACTGCATGATTCAGTTTACTTGCTTTACTTGTTTACTTGAGTTTAACAGATAAATCATACAATATAAAATAAGCATACAAGAGAATGTTTTATCATGTCAAAATGTGGTGCATTAATTGTTGACTATGAAGCTATGAAGCAATTATCAAAACAGTAAACATTACATGTATTTGGCATCTGTAGTACATGTTGATGAGCATATTCAGTAACAGCAGTGCATCCTGAGGTGAGGCATATAGTATTTTTTGGCATTACTAGAGGTAAAGTTTGTGCACCCCTGGTCAAAATAAGTGTTTTTTGTTGTTCATCTATCCTCTACTTCTGCACATTTGAATGCACATTTAATGTTTGTTTGCTGACTTTAACATTTTGGGGGCTAAAAAAAAAAACAATTTTTTTTTTAAATCATAAAATGTGGCTGTGGCATGCAGCCATCCCCTGGGCCCCGATGACGACCTTGAGAGTCGGCAGTGCACAAACCCTGAGTCCCGTCGTGGTGTGGTGGGGAGAGGAGAGCTACGAGTGAGTGGGGGCAACGTGCGCCACAGTGGCCTTTACATAAACACATTTTACATTTTGTGTTTATTTTTTACTAATATGTTAAACTAAGAAGAACTAAATACAACTATTAACTAAAGAAATACATAAATTGTACACCAAAGTTTGCAGAAAATAGATTTCCACCTAGAAAATTGCTAATTGCTGGCCAGGAAAAGCATTGCTAATAGAATAGAATGCTCTGGAACATAAGCCCAAGGTCACCATGCCCAATTTCACGCATCACCTAGATGGGCATAAAGCCCACCAGTATTGGGCTGTGGTGCAGCGGAACTGCATGAGAGGTGGAGCTCCATCAAATACTTTTGGGATGAGTTGGAGTGGCATTTGTGATTCAGAACTAGTCATCCAACATCTGTACCTGACATCACTAATGCTGTTGTGGCTGAATACAATCCAATACTCACTGCAGTGTTTCAACATCTAGTGTGAAGCCTTTCCAGAAGCGTAGAGGCTCCTGCTGCAGCAAAGAGAAACAAACTCATGAGAAATATCCTTGATTTCAGATGAAGTGCTGGATCAGCAGGTGTCTAGGTGTCTACAGTCATGTAGTGTGTGGAGGGTGAAGGCAGGCATGGTTGTGTGTGCCACTGTGTTTATGCTTGCTATGTGGAAATGTTTGAAAGCCTGTTGATTCAGTTGATAAGGAGCACTATATGAGCACAGCTCTACAAATGGACGTGTACTTTAGATGGACGTTCAGGCTGAGATGTGTGTGCGTGGCATGATTGTATGCGTATTGCTGTCTTCATTTCTGTGTCTTGGTTGTATAATGAGTGCTGTTTTTTGGTTGCCAGGATACTCCTCTGCAGCTGCCGCTGAAGAAGTGTTCAGTGGTGGGTAACGGAGGGGTTCTGAAGAACAGCGGCTGTGGAAGAGACATTGACCAGGCCGACTTTGTTATGAGGTAACGCTGTCTTTCTCGCTTTCTGACCATCTAAAACCACCGGATGAGCTGTCTTTGTTAAACACGAAAGAACACAATTGGGTCATTCTACAGAAAGTCCACTTTTCTATCTCTCCATAGGTGTCACTGGTGTTACCAATCATCATTGGTGTTACATATGAGAAAGGTAACACCAGAGACATTTTTGATAAAAAATGCAGTTTACAAAATGGCTGCTACAGAGCATCAAAGCACATGTTGTCAGTCATGGAATATCCACTAAAATATATAATTTAATCTATTTGTATTCTATTTTTTCAGAATGACCTAAGAATAAAGTAGGTCATACCAGTGACATCAACTAAAGGCTTCATATGAAATCATGAGCTAAATGAGAAAATTTCTGATAACTGAAAAGACACAGTGGATTTACCATTTCATAGATCCTCAGAAAATAGGTAAAAGAAAGTCAAGTGATGTCATCAGTGTGATTTTTTGTTATGCGGTAACAGCAGTGACACGACTCCTGGGGACAACAACTTTCATTATATATTTTATAATATTTATTTGTCATTTAATTAATATATGTCATAGTCATGTATAGATTATTGTAATTAAAATTTTGTAAAAAAAAATATGGCACTCACCCTTTACACATGGCTGTGGGGACGAGCACTTCTGTGGTGCTTGGAATTCTAGATAATTAATTTAAAAAACAATATTGCTAAATCCATGGCTGAAGAAAGTGTAATTGTTAAAATAACTCTTTATCATTGCTTTATTTTAAAATATTACTAAATTGTAATCCTAACATGTTTTTTAAGTGTAATATATCTCTAAACGCTAGGGACACAAAAATGGACGTTTCTGTAGAATGACCCAATTGATAAGTGCCCAAGTGCTGAATTGACCTATTCATGCTTCACCAATAAATGCATTCTTTTGTAGCAACTGTTGCTAGATTAGACATGCTGTACAGAACGTTGAAAAAATGCCCTTTAACATAATGAGAGACTGTAGCGCACAAATCAGTTTTTGTCAGAGAGTGTTTAGAGTGCATTGATAATCATGCTTCTGGTTCCGGGTTCAAGAAATGAAAACGAATACCAGACATAAGCAGTGTAATCATGCTTATCATGGAAAGCTGGATAGTTTGATAAGGTATCAGGGCTGTACATTCCCTTTTTCAGTATTTGTAAAAAGGCTTATACAAGCAAGTGTTGAAGCACGTAAATAAAAACAACATAATATTATTCTAAAAAGTATCTCAATATGTGTGAAAAACTGTGATAAAAACAGAAGCAGCATGCAAAAGATTTATACAGTATTTTAATGTTTATTTTAATATAATATACATAAAATTCATAAGGGGCACTATTAGTACTCAACTAGCATTTTTCAGCATTGATAAGTGCGAAGAAACTGATGTGGATGAGGAAATAACTGATGTTATTTAATGTATAGTTTCTAATTTAATCAGTTAATTTTAAAAAACAACAGACAAACAATAAAATCCTAAAATGCTTTAAATATGACATTACATCCTTAATCTAAACAATTTTTGGGCATTTTGTACATCGCGAAGTGCTTTGTTTACACACATCTTGATTATAGTCCGGACTTAACAGATGGAGCACAGCTACCATAAACACAAGAACTTAACCTCACTCAGCTCACTCAACATTACTGAGTTGGCTTGAGTAGCATAGATATGTTTCATATTGTACACACCTTGTAGAATAATTCACAAATAATTGACTATAAATAATTTACTACAACTTTCATCAGCACTTGGGCTTTATATATTTAATATATATATTATATATTTAAATCACACATGAGGGGCATAGGATTCATTTCTTCCAGCACATGCAACATGCATTATTGTCTCATTGTACAGCCCTGAGAATGTAAACATTGCTTCAAAACATACTGTTCATTCCCCAGTCCACATAGTACATACTTCATTGTTTTCGTGATGTCATCAATGCATTCACATATTCAGCTTACAGCAGTTTAGCTCCGCACATTTATTAAATATAATTAAAAAAAACAACAATAAGTAATATATAAAATCAGCTATAGTGTAGTGCACTTATTCAGCCTAATAAAAACTATTAAACATATATAGAAATAATAAATCAAAAAATTAAACCAAAATGATTAGATGAGTTTGGGTTTTTAGTGAGGGACATAAGTACACCGCTGTAAAGGCAAGGGGTGCGCTAGATTCATAACACAAGCCAAAACGAGAGCATTATGGTAATGCAGAACAATAATCATTTATTTTAATCTTTGGGAGCCAAAATCATTGAGTAGGTAAATCAAATTGAAAATGAAATTTGATTAATCACCCAGCCCTACAGGGCAGTAAATCAGAACAGAGTGCTTGTGAAAGCATCTGTTCTAAAAGCACATTAAAAGCAGCCTGTTGAATTTTAAGGGATTAAAAGGTTGAAGTTGGAAAAAGGTCATGAAAATGAATTATGCTCATTTGTAAACCTAATTAGAGTTTAGGTTGGGAATCATCTGCAGTATTCCTCTAACATTCTCAATGTCTGCAAAGAATGAATTAATTTCTTCCTACTCCTTGTTTCTCATTCTAGATGTAACCTGCCTCCACTGTCCAAAGAATACACTGATGATGTGGGTACAAAGACACAGCTGGTGACCGCCAATCCCAGTATTATAGAGAAGAGGTACGTGTGGCTGTATTTCTGTCCAGTGCCTAGCGGATGACTACACTCTGGACAATTTACCCACTAGAAACTGATTCACTAAGACCACTGAGAAAGTAATGTTCTATACAGAATTGGCCCCTACTAGTCTCCCTTTTGTCCTTGTATTAATATCCTTATTGATAAAGGATTATAATAATCAAGTAAGTGGCAGTACTCAGTTTCTCCCCAGTAAAGATATTCAATGAGCACCCAGTAGACCCAAGCACAGTTAATCAAGTAACTACAGCAATATACTCCTGGGACGGTCAGCACTGATTACCTGTTAACCCCTTTTTTGTTGCATTCTGTTGCAATGGAAACAACTACCGCTGGTATGTTGTGTAGGGAAAAGAATCTGAACTTTTAGGGATCTATAAGCAGGTCCAGACTTTCATCCCGCATTCTTGTAGCTACATAACTAACATAATTGTTCATAATATTTACTAAATAACTTTTAGGAAACCTCTTAAACGGCCAAAAAAAAATTTACACACCTGTATAACCCAAGAATAACTTAGCCAGTTTGCACTGTAGTCCATGTAGTTACTGAATATTATAAAATATTCAGATTTTATGTAAGATTTGCATTACAGTGATTTTATCACAGTTAAAGTGATAAATTTACCTGTGATAAAATCACTGTAACGCATGACCTCTCATGGCTTATTGCTTTAATCCCAAAATCTGATTGGGTGAGCTATGTTCAAAGCCATTGCAATACTCGATATTTGCACACATTAATGGCCAAATTGGCACTTAGTAACAAAGCAAGGCACTGTAAAACTGTCTGGAATCTTTGTGTGACTGGGTTTGGGTCGGGTTTGGGCTTCAGTTTCATGCCTGTTCAGACCTCTAATATTGGTTGCTACCTACTACTACAGGTAACTATTACAAAAATATGTGTCATGGGAATAGTCTTTACAGTTGCTTGTAATTTGCTTGCGTAGACTGTGGGTTTGCGATGCGGTCATGTTTTACCTGTGAATAACTCTTAACAAGAAGTTAAAATAGGTCATGGTGGAACATCTCAAGCACAGAGGAAGTTCAAGGTTCACTTTATCAGAAAATATTACATATATCAAATCAGAGCTTAATGGCTTGGGTGTCTGCTATATTAAGCCAGTCTTTCATTTCTTGGTTTATTGCGCACTACATACTCCACTGTTGAAGAGATGACATAAACCAGCATTCTTCACAACCTGCAGGAAGCCTTTTTTTGGAGCATTTTTTTAGAAGTTTACAGTGAGATGTAAATGTCTGCTACTTTCTACTACTGACCACAAGTGTGCACAAAATACACTCCTGTCACATTTTGCACGTTGCAACCAGTCATCCTATCATGGAAACATTCTTCTTTACTAACCACACCACTTCGGGTTTCAGACTGCACTTAGCAAAAACAGCACGCTCAAAACCGAGAGAAAACTAAAAATAAAACTGCATTTCAGCCTCTAGATTTGTAAGTCAAACTCTATAGAAGTGGAACAGATTCTCTTACAATGGCGTATAGCATGTAAGCAGTAAGACTTTAGTCTGACTATTAATAAAATGCTTCTGCTTTTTGGATATATTCTGAGCTACAACAAAATGAAAGTATTTAAAATTATGGTTATTATAATGGTTATTATAATTATTATCATTATGAAACCTGAATATAATCTCTTTTTTTGTTTGGGTGGGTAGGGCACACAGCTATATTAATGCCTGTTGCCTGTGGTTTATCACCCTGTCCTTGCATGGCTTTGAAGAAGAGAAAAACAAAGTAGTATATGTCCTCAAAGAGAGGTTGATGGTGTGGCCAAATGATATTGGTCAAAAAAAAAAAGGAAAATGAAAAAGAAAAGAAAGGAGCAGCTACTAGGCATGCAGTATGAGTTAATTATGAATAAGTGCAATATGAAATCATAGTATATTCATGACACTATCAAACTTCTATCAAATTCATATAAGTAGACCATATAAACTAAAATATGTACTACTACACATATATCAGAAATACAGTGATTTTACTGCAGAATATTAAAGTAACTGGTGTAGCCACATATCTTCAACATTAAACACACTATAAAATGATAATTAGAAAAATAATAAAAAAAAACATCAGTACAGAATGTCACAATATACACATACTAAAAATGTATTAATTTTACTGTAGTAGTCGTTGGCAGACTAGCATTATCTTACCTAAGTTATGTGGTGATTTTATTAATGAAAACACAATGATCAGAATGGTATCAATATTAAAGTACTCAGTTTGGGGCAAAAAAATGGATTTGGACATTTTAATCAAATCAGTATGAAAAAAGCAATAAGCCACAGCAGACCATGCTTTATTTTTGTGAGGGTTTAGGCACAGTGACATTTTTCTTTATTAAATGCTATAACATACACAAATGTTCAATTAATAATTTCATTTATTATTAATAATCATCATAATAAAACATTTTTTTGTGCCAAGCAGTGTACTTTGTTAACAGTAGGCTACAGTTGCCAAGAAGCATAAAAGTCATCAATTATTCCACGAACAGCACAACAGGCATTTTACTACAGCTCTGAAAGAGGTTCAAATCAGATTTGAAATCCATCCATTTTATAAGCAGTGTTTTTAACTTATTTCTAAATGAGACACTCATAGGAGGTTCCACAGTTGGTGTGCCTTTTGTCTCCCACTGATATTACCCTTACAAATATGTATGTAAAAGAAAAAGTAAAAAAAAAACAATTAAAAAGAAATGTCCAAACTGTCTATCTAAGATGTTTCAGATGCTTTAAGAAATTAAATAAAACTTATTTGCAGCACTTAGAACACAGCATTGTTGCAGTCCTAGCCTTTTATAGTACACTTTACCTTAAAATAACAATTAAAATACATCAAAAATCATATTATTGCTGCATGAAATACATACAAATGTCAGCCCAACAGCATTTACTACTATGAAATATAAAAAATATTTCACATAAGTCACATGTTCAACAGAAAGTTGCATCATTCAAATTTCCTGAAGATCATGTGAAGAAGAAAAGTTCACTCTCATTCTTCTTTCTTTATTTTCTATGATATTGCAGTACTGATTGACAAGCTCTTGTTGAAAGTTCAAACCTGTTAGCTAAAATATAGACTGAATGTGACTCCTTCTTTAAAAAAAACGTAAATCATGATATCCTACATTTACATTTTACATTTACATCATTTAGCAGACGCTCTTATCCAGAGCGACTTACAAAAAGTGCTTTGTCTATCCAGAGAAAGAATCTTCGCTAGCTACCGATAGGTTAGAGAGAAAGTCAGTCCTAAGCTCAGATACTGGTAGAATCAGATATTATAACATAGGATAACATATCCTATGTTCTTGTTACATTAGCAATAGTGCTAGTTAACTACATTTTGTGTATTTACTAATTCTGTACTAAACTGTCAACCCAGTTACTTTTAACCCTGTTAATTATTAAGTCATTGTCAGCAAAGAAATCTTGTAAAAAGTCTGAGATGGATGAAAGCTGTACACTCTGTACACTCAAAAATAAGTGTACAGTGTCCTCCTGCCTTTTTCCGCTATAACTAAACAGTATACACTGCTAAAGCTCTCCTCTGATAATCATCCAGTTTCACCAGTCACAATGTCACCATGGCAACGTTTGCGTGGCTTCATGCCACCGTTGGTCATGTACTATGAGGCATGGAATGCCACTATTTTCAGTGCAAACATGTGAACTCAGCAATAGAGTTACAGAGACATAATGGCACCCCAATCATAGAATAACCCTCATCTTTTTTTGCCCCTCCTCCCGCAGCTTTCAGAACCTCCTGTGGTCTCGGAAAGCCTTCGTGGAGAGCATGAAGGCCTACGGCTCCAGCTACATCTACATGCCTGCTTTTTCCATGAAGCCAGGGACTGACCCCTCCCTCAGGGCTTATCACGCCCTGGCTGACTCCGCCTCCAACCAGACCGTGCTGTTTGCCAACCCGGACTTTCTGAAGAACGTGGGCCGCTTCTGGAAGAGCCGTGGCGTGCACGGCAAGCGCCTGTCCACTGGTCTCTTCCTGGTCAGCCTTGCGCTGGGCCTGTGCGAGGAAGTCACGGTCTACGGCTTCTGGCCCTTTTCGGTGGGGCTGGATGAGCGGCCAGTCAGTCATCACTATTACGACAACATCCTGCCCTCGTCGGGCTTCCACGCCATGCCCGAGGAGTTCCTGCAGCTGTGGCACCTTCACAAGAGCGGTACACTGCGCATGCGCGTGGGCCGTTGTGCACAAGGAAAGGTCCAGTAAGAGGAGGAGTGGTTGCCCTGGGCAACCGTCTTAGAGTTTTTTCTGTTAGTGGCTCCGCCCCCCACCACCACAACCACCACAACCACCACCACCTTTTCTTCAGATTAGCATAAGAATAAGGAGTGAGAATAACCCCCCCCCAAACTGATATCACCCGTAGTCTCTGCTTGATTGCAGTAGAAAAAGACTCAATACCACCTCCTAACGCACACATCCCCACCCTCACACATGCACTCAGTCACACAAATACACACATTTTCTTTGCTGTTGCCAAGGGGATGTCATTTAGACCTGCATGGACGTCCATTTCCACAATTCACCAGGCAGCGTTTGAGGACTGAGGTGGGGGGATGCGGGGGCTGGTTAGGAGCCATAGGCTTACTGTTTGAATGCTATAGCCATAGCTGTGTTTTTTTATGGCAGCTGGGCTCTAGGACCCCCCGGGCCTTTTTTTTTTCTCTAAAGCCAGAACAAGAGGACGGGGCGTGTGGGGGTGGGTACTTAAAGATGTCTTGAATGGATTCAGATGAAGGAGAAGAAATAAGAAAAGCAGGCTCTTTGCCAAGGCAACAGAGTCGGAGAGGGGGGTTGGTTAGGGTGGGTAGATCTGGGCTAAAAATGGACAAGAGAAAAGAGAAACAAACTAGAAACACCGCAGCGTAAATTCTTACATTGTTTTGTTTTTTGGTTGTCACATCCTGAGGATGAAATTTTTCAAGCGGGGGAAATAACAGTGTGAAAAAGACTGACTTGAACTTTGTTTTGTCAAAATTCTGAGCGCAGATCCAACGTACAGACCAAGTTCTAGCCACCAAAAGGGAAACATGAACATTTGAAATGAAGTGAAATGAATGTACTGCAAATGCACTGCTGTTTGAACCACCATTTGAACATTCTTTCATCACACAACCGTCTATTCTAAGATGTACTTCTGTATATCCTGTGTTTGTGTACTGAGGTTGCAACCCATAGTTAAAAGGAAGGTAAAGGTGGAGCCTGTGACAAGGTTCACATTCCATCAGGGGTGGATGAACAATATATTATATTTGTTTTTTTGCCAGTGGAAGTGCTGTGACCGCCTTTAAAGTGAACTAATGTGAACTGCAGCCTTGCTTTGCGTGCGATTTGTCCTGCGAAAGGTAGCCGTGGTTGATGCAGGAGCAGATGTAGTCATGCTGTAGGTACCCTGGGAGCAGTAGTGCTGCTCCTGGCTGCTTTGGGTGCTGGACACCTTGTACTGGAACATATTTTGTACATACTCAGCATTACTTTGGTCAGTGTTTTAGTCAGCATTCTGATTCCTTTGAATGTAAAGGCAGCCAATGAAGTAATCTGCTACTGGAGTAGTTTATATCTGTACACCTTTTAGGTAGACAGTTTTTTTTTCTTAAAGGAATGCTCAAGTGTTTTCAGTCTCTGTATTGTACGGTCAGAACCACAGACAATAAATGTGATGCATTTTTATGTATTTAGTACAAAGACAGAAAAATTGTTGGGGGGTTCTAAAGGCCCAAAAAATGTGAGGCACATTACAGTCTTCATTTTCTTTAAGAACTTCACACTGTGTTTTTTTTAATAGTGCTTCTGGCAGCACGTCTGTTGCTTAGCAACAACAGCGTCAGTCAGCTGTGTTAGCGAGCTATCGTATCTACAGGCAGAAAGTTGAACAACTACTTAAGTAGCCTATGCCATGCTGCTAGCACAAAGATAAGGTAAAAAAAAACAGTTTTTTATTTATGTAATGATGTGATGTTGTGATAATCCCTCCTTCATTATAGTTGTTACTGAAGGTCCAACTTACCTTTGATCTGATTGGTCAGCACAGAAAAAATGCACAAGCCATAAGGTACTTGACCTCTTCCAGGTAAACGCTCTTCAGGTGAGGCAGGCCCTGCGTCAGGCAGACATCGCTAGCCGTGTGGTGTAAAAAGCTACATAAATTAACACAGTAGGGTTTGCATGCATCATTTCATATCAGCTGCATTTTAAGGATGCACTGCATGTTGAGGGAAGATTCATCAACAGACACATTTTCTAAATGGGTCAAGCTATGGTGAATGTGTTTGAATGCGTGGCTCCTCTGGACAGATCTACCAAGCTGTGGGATGTGTGAATACGCTGTGCTCCCCCCTGAACCTCTGTGGTTTCCGGCTGAGCCGCCTGTGATTAGATTCTGGCACTGGGCCCGAGCTCAGGGCGCCTGGAGCACTCCACACAAAAGATAAAACATGAGGCAACCAGAACACAGAACGCTGTGTCAATATACTTTTATGACCAAACGTATGTGGACATCTTACCATCACACCTATATGAGCTTATTGGACATCCTATCCCAAAATCATGGGGATTAATATGGAGTTGGCCCCACGTTTGCAGCTATAACAGCTTCCTTTCTTCTGGGAAGGCTTTCTAACAAAATTTTGGAGTGGGTCTGTGGGAATTTGTTCCCATACAATTCAAAGGGCATTTGTAAGGTCATGCCTGGCTCACAAGCAGCATTCCAATTAATTCCAAAAGTGTTCGGTGGGGTTGAGGTCAGGGTCCTGTACAGGCCACTGGACCACGCTTTGTGCACAGTCATGCTAGAATAAGAAAACGGCCTTTCCAAAACTGTTGTCGTATAGTTGGATGCATATAATTGTCTAAAATATCTTTGCTGTAACATTACCCTTCACTGGAACTAAGGGGCCAAGGTCCAACCCCAAAAAACAGCCCCGTCCATTATCCCTTCTCCAGTAAGTTTTACTGTTGGCACTATGCATTCTGGTAGCATTCTCCTGGCATCCACCAAACCCAGATTCGTCCATCAGACTACCAGATAGTGAAGCGGGATTCATAACTCCAGAGAACATGTTTCCACTGTCCAGTGGCGACGTGCTTTACACCACTCCAGCCGATTGTTGGCATTGCGCATAGTGAGCTTAGGCTTGTATTCAACTGCTCAGCCCTGGAAACCCATTTCACAAAGCCCCTGATGCACAGTTGTTGAGGTGATGTTGCTTCCAGAGGCAATTTGGAACCCTGTACTGAGTGATGCAACAGAGGGTAGGTAATTTTGTATGTGCTACACACTTCAGCACTCAGCAGCCCCGTTCTGTGAGTTTTCGTGGTCTACCATGTCATGGCTGTTGTTGCTCCCAGACATTTCACAGTAGTGGCACATATGGTTGACTGGTGCAGATTCGGCAGAGCAGAAATTTTACAAACCATCTTGTGGCCAAGGTGGCATCCTGTGACAGTGCCCCATTTAAAGTCACTGAGCTCTTTAGTATGACCCAATCTACTGCCAATGTTTGTCTATGGAGACTGCATGGCCATGTGCTTGATTTTAAACACCTGTTAGCAATAGGTGTGGCTGAAACCCCTGAACTGAATATCTAGTGGTGTTCACATACTATTGGTCATATGGTCTCCCATTGAAAACAATACATAAACGGCTCCTCAGCTCGCAAATATTTTACAGTGTGATCCTCCTTTAAAAGGTCTCCCTAGTGGTGCAGCTATCTAAGCTTGATCCCTAGCATCCATGGCTGGCTGTCCAAGAGAGCTGGCCAATGCGGATGCCTCTTAGCTAACATAACAAAATGCAATTCCTTACTCAAGTCCACTCGCTAGCTAGGTAGGTCTACTGGGTGGAATTGACTAGGTAGGTCTCCCACTTTCACACTATGCTACTAAGCTGGGAGGGTGAAGGCTAGCATGCATACATGTGCATTAGTGCACTATATGTGCACTAATGCACATATAGAGGAAAACACCATCTGCCAATTCTGTTACGTCAGCTAATAGACATCCTCTCTTGAACTCCATGGACCCACCTAGCTAGTGGGTGGAACTGACAATGACTACAAGTTGGATTAAAATCAGTAAAAAATATGTGCAGGTGCTAAAGCAAATTGGCTTCTACTGAAAGCATGTTTCAAGTCAACTGCTTTTCTGTACTTTTTCAAATGCATGGGAATGCATAAAATTATTGTCTGTGGTAAAGGAGCGTGTGTTATAAATGCTCTGGAGTATTCCTTTAATCTCTTAAAATAACATTCTGTCTGGCCTTTGGTCTCTTGGCAAACAAGGGTATACACTTACCATCTTGTAGGTGCTAGTTTTACTATGTCATAGCTGTCTCATTCATAGCCTCTGAAAACCCATATATGGTAGCTATGTTGGAACAGATTAAAAAGAGGCCTAAAGGTCAGATAAGTGTACAGCTGAGGTGAAGGATACAGCATAGAGCCGTATCATGTTGTTGGCATGCTCCAACACAAAGGCCACTGTGTTGAAAGTCATGAAGGAAACGATATCCACACACGCTCCAGCGTGCTTGGACCAGGTTTCTGAAATCCATCCTCACTGTCTGTATATCATCCATCCACATTCCTTGAAAGGTTGAGTGCCTTTTTTAACGTAAAAGAAAAAAAAACAAAGCTAAATAAGGATTTTTTTTTTTCTTTTTTGTAAATGACACTGAAAGCAGTATGTAAGGACTAAAGATTTGTCTTGCCTTCACTTTTTTGTTCCTTCCTGGGAGCTCTCCATATTTTTGATTTTGTATTAGGTAGTGTATCCAGTGGGATGATGGTGATTGCGTACAGTTTAGTGAGAAGCCTCAATGAAGTCCTATAACCAGCTGGTTGCAGAAGGACCAAGTTGAGTTTAATACATCTTAATGTCGCAAAGTTGCCAAATGAAGGCATTTCTTATAACTATATTTATGATGGAGGATATTGGTAAATGTTTAAAGAGACAGTAGTCATTTGAATTTGTGTTATTTGCACCTTTTTTTGTCTTATTCAGTGTTGTGAATGAGTGTGACCGTAGCTTGTATTGCAGCATGCATGACTGTGGTACATGTATTTGTTTAGTAAGCTAAATTTGAGTTGGAGACATTTTATTGCTCATTTTCATTTCTGCCCCCTTTTGATTTCTGAGCCACGTCAAGCTGTGTACCCAAAGTGTAGCAGCACTTACCTCAACTGTTTTCTCACTACTAACCCCTTCTACGAAATATGAAACATATATTTATTCAGCCCAGGAGAGTAGACCTCTTTGAGCTTACGACAAATCAAACTATTTGTACTGTTAAGTGTTGCTGAGCCTGGATGTTGAGGTAGGATTCTGTCCTCATGGCTGTGAGGGCAATGCTTGTATAACTGCTTGGTTAAGTTCACCGTAAATAGGTGTGCTGTAATTTGCCTTGCTTGAAAAGAGAACCTAACATGTATGTAATGTGGACGTGAGTGAAACTGAAAAAGCTGGAAGCAGTCACGTCTCAGATCAGGGTACTGAGCGTGAGCTTCTGTTTTTTTGAGCATGTCATACTGAACAATGGAAACGAACAGCTTGGTCTGAACGATGTTTTTCTGCCACCTGGGTTACGCCAATAAAAAAATGAACCAAGCAAATGAGGCATTTAAAATGAAGGAAAATATTGATATTGAATAATAAAGCAACCCAGTTTTAACTGTCCTGGTTTTGTGCACCACTGCCTTTCTTTTTACATAATAGTTTCAGTAGTGTGCAAAAGTCAGAGACCCCCCTTTTAATCAGCTCAATATTAAATAAATGAAGGGTGGTCTCTGACTTTTGCACAGTACAGTATGTTTTGTGGAATGTTCAAGTCTTTTCACTCCATCTTATTATGGCTAGTTTAGTGTTTGCTCTCAACAGAGTTCCGATATGAAAGTTTTATCAATGTTGATTTCACGCTCTAATATTTATGAGGCTAACGGATATTTTCATAATCGATGAATCACTTCATTGTGATTAGTTTTCCAATAATTAAACATAAATAATAAACAATGTTGTATTTAAAAATTCAGATGGCAGCACCACTTTACTTTTGGTCCAACTCCCTTTCTGAAAGTCCCAAAAGCTGCCAAATATAGCCTACTTTACTTAATCTGAGAAGCCACTTGGCGCTGACCAGGAAATTCGAATTACAGCCTCATGACCTCCCTAGACTGAGATAAACACACTGTGACCATCACAGAGAAACAAGAAAGACTCCACTCGTTTATGTTCAAAGTCTAATTTAATGTCTTCATTCTCTGAAATGCATTGTTCAAATGGAAGAACTAAAACAGTCATAAGAAATGTGTAAGCACATCAGCCACACCTTACCAAGTCATTACTTTTATAAACTAAGAAATAGTAAGTCATCTAATAATAACAAGGTAATTTAGAAGTCACCAGCTATAACAGATCATAGTGTAATTTCCTATTAATTCCTGTCCGTGTCTGTCCATTTCCCTTCCTTGCCTCCATCCCATCTTCTGTCTCATAACAATCTCCTGCCCTTGTGTCTGTCCCTCTCTATCTGGTCTCCTGTCCCTGTGCCTATCCTGTACTGTGTCACAGTATCTGTTTTGTCTTCTGCCCCTGTGTCCACCTTCTGGCCTTTTGCTTATCTCATTTTCTGTCCCTGTGGCCATCCCTTTCTTCTGTCTCAGTGTCCGTCCCTGTGTCTGTCCTATTTCCTGTCTCTATGTCCATTCTGTCTCCCGTCCCTTTGTCAGTCCTAGCTCTCATCCCTCTGTCCGACCCATCTCCTGTCCCTGTGTCCATCCTCTCTCCTGTCCTTGTGTCCATCCTCTCTCCTGTCTCTGTGTCTATTCTCTTGTTTCTGTCATTTCCTGTCACTTGTTCCCATCCTTATATGTCCCTGTCGCTGTCTCTATCCCATTTTTTGTTCCCCTCCCTAGCCCTTCTTATTTTCTAGCTCCTGCCATGTCTGCAGCTCTGTGTCTGCATCCTTTGCATTCACTCTTCTCTCTTCATCTCCATAGCTCCATGGCAATTAATGTCAAATTAACATTATTTCAGTTTATCAACATTATAAGCATAATAGAGTCTTCAGGAACTCTTAAGTGGTCCTCCATGTCGTTCTGTTTCACTGAAGTATAAATATGAGGTGACTCTTAGGTCAAACACACCGAGCTATGCAACGCCCTCCACAACTATTTGCACCCCTAGTAAAGATGACTAAAAAGGGTTATAAGAAATTTTGCTTTTGGTGAATTAGCTTAATCTCACACTCCAGAAATTCTTAGAAATAAAATGAAACTGAGGCCTTTTTTTCCATTTAGATTTTACTTTTT